CCACGAGATAGTAAGTCGTGACCACGAAATAGTAAGTCGTGGCCACGAGATAGTAAGTCGTGGCCACGATATAGTAAGTTGTGGCCACGAGATAGTAAGTCGTGGCCACGAGATAGTAAGTCGTGGCCACAAGATACAAAGTCGTGGCCACGAGATAGTAAGTCGTGGCCACGAGATACAAAGTCGTGGCCACGAGATAGTAAGTCGTGGCCACGAGATACAAAGTCGTGGCCACGAGATAGTAAGTCGTGGCCACGAGATAGTAAGTCGTGGCCACGAAATACAAAGTCGTGACCACGAGATAGTTAAGTCGTGGCCACGAGTTTTAAATTATTTTTTTATTTTCATGCATGTCCCTAATAAGCTTCCGTACACACCAAAGGAGAATTTTGATCAAATGAAAAACACTTGTGGTGCTGATGCCCCATCATATGACTTTGTAAAACGCTGGCATTGTGAATTCAAACATGGCAGGAAGTCTGTGGAAACAGCTCCCAGACCTGGTCGTCCCTCTTCTGCCATTGATGAGGCATCTGTCCGTCAAGTTGAGGCAGCCATTTTGGAAGATCAAAGCATTACTGTTCGCTCAAGAGGTCAAGATTAGCATAGGATCTGTGGAAACTATCATTCATGACCATTTGCATATGCATAAGTTGTCTGCCAGATGGATTCCCAGGCTGCTCACACATTTCTAGAAGCAAGAACGCGTTGAGTGCTCAAGGATGAATTTGAAGATGTGCCAAGAAGATGAGTCAAAGTTTTTCAAAAGACTGATTACACAGGATGAAACTTGGATCCATCACTATGATCCAGAGACCAAAGCCCAGTCAATGCAGTGGAAGTACTTGGACTCACCACCCCCAAAGAAGGCAAGGGTGCAGCCCTCTGCTGGCAAGGTCATGCTCACAGTCTTCTGGGACCAGGACGGAGTAGTGATGACATATTTCCTGGCAAAGGGTACCACAATTACAGAAGCCTATTACGCTTCACTTTTGATGAAATTAAGAGAAGCTAACAAAATCAGGAGGCAAGACAAGATCAGCAAAGGTATCCTCTTCCTGCAGGACATCGCTCCAGTCCACAACTCGCATGTGGCCAGATCAGAAGCATGGGCGTGTGGCTATGAAACCCTGGGGTGTTCTACATGAACGGTGTCCAGAGCTGCATCAATTGTTGTAAGAAATGCATAACTCTGGGTGGTTCCTATGTAGAGAGAGACTAATAACTGTGCCAAGTTTCATTAATCTCCTGCTATGAGAAATGGGTCAGGGGCATTACATATTGAACATCCCTTCTACCTCATGTCAATGTTTTTCAGTGATGCATGTTAACACAATCTGTGAATGCTGCCCTATCACATACCAACCAGTGACATTTTTTTAATGACAAATTGTGGGAAATGTACAGTCCTGTGAATGTTTGTATTAAATAAGGTCATATGCACCAAAATACCAGATGTACTTTAAATTAGTATCATGATTAATCAACGGATTACTGAACTAATCAACGGCAAATTACAATCATGCAGTTTCATCTGTGGCAAATAATTAAAGTGCATCACTCTGAGTGTTGTTTTTGTGTGCTACTAAACAACTATGCAGGGCTGAAAAGTAAAACTTCACATTAAATATTGTGTTATGTAAATTTTTACTTTATTATGTTATGTTAATAAATTATTTACAGTTCAATGTACATTGTATTAATAAAATGCAACCCATTCTAAAGTCTTGACTTGCTGATGTAGATCTTTTGAAAATAAAAATAAAATATTGAATGGTTGCTACACTGAATTTTGGAGAAAATATTTTGAAAAATGAATTATGAACATAGAAAGCACATAAAGTTTGTTTTTGTATAATTTACATAGCTGTTTTTAATTTTTAGATAAAGTACATGTATTTATATTTGTGATGTGATAATAAGAACCTGAGTCAGACAATCATCGGTTGCAGTCACAGATCACATCTTTGTTCCCCAGAATACTGTAGAATACTTTATTTTCGCTATTTTCGCTGAAGGGATGATTCCGTGAAAATAAAATCCAGCGAATATACATTTTTTCCTGTATTTTACATTAATCTCATCAAAAATCAGTGAAAATAAATTCCAAGCAAAACGCCCAAAAAGCCTTTTCAGCGAAAATAAATTTCAGCGAAAATAAAGTATTCCACAGTACTTGCCCGACCACTGGCACGAACAATACCTATTCAGGGCTAAACATACTAGAAAAAAAACTTTAAACTTCAAAAGCAAGTCTAAAGTGTTGTAAAAGTCTCTAAAACTTTAAAGATGGAAGACACTAACTTTAAAACTGTACTGCAATTTTTCAACATGAGAACTATTAAGGCCAACAACATGTCCCCAGCTTTCTAACAAACTCACTGAACTTTGTAGCTGCTGCAAAAACTCAAAATGATTTCACTTTTCGTGTACACTATATATTAAGTAGACAATTGCTTAATGTGAGCAAGTAGCTTCACTAAGAACACTAAAATTACTTTTGTTTTCGTCAGAAACATAATATTACAAACAGATGAGCTGGGTAAGTTTGATATGATATTACAATTACTTTAAAAAATGAAATAACCAAAGTAACAGTATGTTTGAAACAGCTGTTGATTAAAGCATACATTTGTTTTCATCAATAAACACAGCAAGTTACTTTCATTTACCATTGCATAAATAACACTAGAAATCTAAACAATACCAGAAAAAGATGTACCGGTACATTTCTGTAAAGATTATAACAACATTTTATTTTATACAAAAATGTACATAAAAATGTAAATTACAAAAAATATCAATACAACAAAGTATAAATTGTCATATATTGACATATTTGACATCCCAAACTTATTTCGTTTCATTTTACATTTTTAGAAGAAACATAATTTAGTATATACTAGTAATGGGAAACCACTCTTACTGATAATATTGATTGATTCAACTGACATTTTATTAGTACTGACCATAAAGGAACTGTTATATAATGTAATCCAATCCACCCTTATGTCCTTTAGCTTGAAAGGTATATTTATAATTTAATAAATCATTATTATTACTGCACCACATATGTACATTTATGTACACAAAATACTGAACGTTTCAAATGCAATTGAAGGCTGTCACATACATACATGTAGACATGCTTTCTTGAGTCTTAATTCCAGAAGCGATGCATTGTATCTGCATACTAAGCTGAAAAAGGGCTACCGAACACTCATAGAAGTATATTTTAAATGCGATGTATGCATTGCATGGGACCCATGTCGAAAAGAATGCAGCAAAATTGTGGTGCTTCAATGTTGCAGTAAATTTAACAGTAGCAGCAACCATGACCACTTCAGATACATGGTACCAATCATTCTTTTGACTGACTATTATTGTGAGGCTTTGTGATAAGAATATTCTGACATTCATCAACGTAATGTTTTTACATGTACCGGGGGGTATATACATTCAGAATCAAAATATAGTTGCAATAAATGCCACTTCAAAGTGAAATATCTGTTCAATTTTAAATACATTATAAAGTGGATTCCTGAGAGATAAAGATATGGATGGATGTGTGACTGGCAATTTACATCTCAACAATGCTAGGCATTGTACCTCAACAGTAAAAGCAGCAATTCAGAAGTCTCCATTGAAAGTTTAGCAGGCACATTCTCCGTGTGTTAATTGATAGTTTCGCATAGGCAATGCATATTCGAACTGCAGAAGTATCATTACCAGAGTGTCCATGGAATGTCCAGCATGTGCACTGTAACAAACATCTGTACAATGGAAGTATTGTTCCTAGTGTATCTATGGAAAGTTAGGCGTGGGTGTTTGTAACAAACATCTCAACTATGGAAGGTAGTTTAGATAATTTTTCCTTGACAAACTCTGGAATTCTATCATGTTGATTATACCTGGATGGAAAAAGCAGAAATAGATGAGTTTTTAATGCATTCCTCTACATATGTACTTGGGGCTTTGAGTATGTTACTGTAGAATACTTTATTTTCGCTTGGAAATTATTTTCGCTATTTTCGCTGAAGAGATGATTTTGTGAAAATAAAATCCAGCGAATATATATTTTTCCTCCTATATTTCACATTAAACTCATGAAAAATCAGTGAAAATAAATTCCATACAAAATTCCCCAAAAGCCTTTTCAGCGAAAATTAATTCCAGCAAAAATAAAGCATTCCACAGTATTTCAATTGTATACCCTTACAGCATTTTTGTGGCAAGAAAAGAAAAAATGTGGGTCAGAGAAATTTATGGGCTTCATACATTCTATAGGGCTGTGATGGGGAATAAACTCTTGTATATACTCAGAGAAACTTATGCTACACCAATAAATGCTGAATAGACACATATGTGTATTGTCATCCAATAATAGCAAGCATACCATCAACATACAAAAGGAAGTAATGCTAGAAATAGGTACATGATATAAAACCATATGTTGTAATAATATTAATAAACACTACCGGTAATGATTTTTATCAATGAACAAAGAACAATCTAATTTGGTCTAATAGTTTGTTAACCACAAAAGAACATTTCTCTATAGATTGCATAGCTATAATAAAACACACCAGTAATATTTTTGTAATATATGCAAAATTCAAGAATTTCAACAGAAATTGTTAAATTGAAATATATTCCTTCTATGAAATGTAGTAATTTTATAAAATTAAGAAATCTGTATGATAGAATACAGCCATAATCTAGATTTTATGCATAGGAATGCCTAGAAGAACTTAATTATAAACAGCGCCATCTATAGGCCAAACAAGGAATTAAAGCACTGGTTTTTGCATCAAGATTTCAAGCAAGCAGAGGAAAGATACCTTATTTTTAGATAAGTCAATAAAATAAATTCCTGGGACAGGAGCTTCATAAACTCATATCAAATATAGATGAGACAGCAGTTTCATCAGTACATTATGCATTTCTTTTAAATTTGGTGAAACTAGCAAATAAAGAATTACTGTGAATGAAAAAACAACCCAACCAGCAGCATTGCAAAATATTAATAGTTCAAACAGTTTGTAATGGTAAGCTGATATTAATATTGCTACTTTGTTAGCGTAACAGTGAGTTATATTGTAAAACTGCTGGTTGGGTTGCTTTTTCATTGACAGTCAATCAATACAGTATTTTGTGAAGTATTTAATTATATTACTTTGTTTTTATAATGTTGTATCGATTTCAGCAATTGCACCATATGATTGACAACGATACCAATTTCAGAGTTGTGTTATGGTCAGTGTTATATTTTCTCCACATTTAATGTTACCTGAATATATTTCCTTTGGAGTCTACAAATTTTACCATTGAGTTTGATACTTGTACATTGATTTGAGATCCATCGTTATACTGCACCCATACTTCACCAGTAGACATCTGAATATGAAACAAGAAAATGAATTAGCAATATAAAACACAGTGTCATCTTGAAAATAAAAAAAAAAAAAAATTGTCTTGTGAATTCGACTTGGTTGAAACAACAACGGGAATTACACAATATGACCACACCCACCTGTTGCTCCCACCCAATAGTGAAAATTCAGCAATATCATTGTATTTGTAATTATGGTTAATGCTGCTTGACTTAAGGAAACTATAGGTAAAGTGGCAACAAAAATAAGATTGGTCGTCATTTTGTGTGAATCCATTAGTAGTCGTTCTCAATTCATTTATCTTGATTTGTCAAGTCCTTACCTGAGAAGCCCAGCCAATGTTTGGCACAAACACACTTTTAACAACATTACTGTTAGTCTTAGGAGAACTTCCTGGTCTTCTTCTCGTCCGCTTGCCATCTAAACCAAATACAGAAAAATAAAGCAATGATATTCTGCAATCATTTATTCCAGATTTGTGCTTCAAAACTTTCTAGAAGTGCTATCCATAAAATGCTATAAAGTATACAACATGTACTTTCACACCAATAGATATTCATTACAAACACATGATATAAACCACCTCATCTGAAAGCTTATAATAATAAATATAATACAAAATGTGAAATGTTTCTGTCATGTAGCAATATTACATATTATTATACATCTGTCACCGTAACACCATAAGTTACAGCGTGCCGGCATTTTGCAGTATTTTACAGGGCATTTTCATCCTACCATATTAGGAAATGCAAATTCCAAATATGGAAAGATTACACGCGTAAGCGTCCTCTAATAATAAAAACAAACATGGCTGCCACTAGGGTTTGACCGGACTCCATACAAAGAAGTTTGCTGATTCTGTTCTAAACTTTCGGGATTCCCATGATGTATCCTTGGTAGGAAAAGATGTTTAATAATAAGGTTATTACGAAGATACCTCAAAGTATGCACTCAGACAGTACGCTGTC